ACCTGAATTACCTTGGCCACTTCCTGAGGTCACGGCTAGGATAAAGTCTCTGGAGATGAGATAAAGTCTTTGAGGAAAGGTAAGTTCTGTTGCTAAAGCGTTGACGATGTTCAGAATCTGTCAGCAGTGGTCCTCAGAGCTTAGACCTAGGTGGTTGTTTTCTATCAGTCTTAAAGACTGTATTCAGGATGGACGGAGGATGGAGCTCACTTAGGGGAGCTTGCCTAGCGAGCACCAGGCTGTGGCTTTGATCCCAGCATTGCATAGACTAGGCATGTTGATGCATGTCTATATTGACAGTACTTGGAGAGATGGAGGCAGCAGGAGCAGAAGTTCAAGGCCAGCCTTAGCTACATATGAGTTTTATGCCAGGCAGGGCAACATGCAACCCTGGTCCACAAAAACACTAATAACAACTCCTTTCCTCAAATGCTCAGGCATGTCTTTCTTCGCAGCTCTAAGAGAACATAAGCTTTCCAGAACATTCTTTTTGATCAGCAGTACACAATGGTACCATTTCCCTAAGTAATAGCTTGTCAGTGGGTCACAGCATTCATGCTTTGGGCCTTTGACAGGGTAATCTATGACCATGAGTTCCTATGGAAAGTCCCATATTGGCCTACAAATATTTAGCTCTAAGCAGATTCATTGTGACATTGCTTACTGTGTTAAAAATGGGAGAACTCCCCCCCCCAAATGTCCTCCTGGGTATTACAAGTGGATTAAAATTGGCGCAGCCTTTAAAAACAAAGCTGATGAGGCTGGAGAGAGGGCTCAGTGGTTAGAGCATGTAAGGACTCAAACTAGATGCCCAAGCACCTGTTCCACCAGCCCCAGGACCATCCCAACATCTCTGACCTCCACGGGCAACAGCATTTACATGCACACACCTACACACTAACCTTCCACATAACTAAAAATAAATGTCTCAAAGCTCATGTTTGCATGTTCCCAAACATATTAATTAAGGGGAAGAGCCACACACAAAGTTACATACACGTGACACCATTGAGGGGACAGATGTTTACACAGAGAAAAGTGGCAAAGGAGTTCTTTAATTTTTTCATATTTGTTTATTTTGGTATGTGTGCACAAGTGCTTTGCTCGTGTATATGTACTTATTTGCTTGGTACCTGTGAAGGTCAGAAGGCAGTAAGATCCATGTAACTGTAGTTACAGATGGTTGTGAGCCACTGTGTGGGTACTGGGAACACTACCGGGTCCTCTGCAAAAGCAGCCAGTGCTCTTAACTGCTGATCTGGCTCTCCAACTCTCTCTCTTGTTTTGAAAAGGGTCACCTGTAGCTCAGGAATGACACAAACTTCTGATCCTCTTGTCTCCGCCTCCCAGGTGCTGGGATCATGAACATGTACCTCCACACTTGGCTCAGAAAGATGTCCTTAAAGATGAACAGGCAGGGAAGGTTTCCTTCCTGACAAGCAGGAATTGCTGGGGATTTTTCTCTCCAGTGTTGTTTTATCTATATTTTAAAATACAAACTCTTGTATAATTCGTAAAAGGAAACAATGAGACTAGCATATCTAAAAACTCTGAGTTCTAAAATAAAAATGTAAGCTTATACAGGTGCAGTCTTTCTTCTACAGGCAGCTTCTGGAGGGATCACATCCATCTGTGCCCTCTGGAGAGTCACATCCATCCATGTTCTCTAGGGAGTTGAGGGCTTTACTGTTTAGTAGAAAAGGGCTTGTTTTAGTGTTTTGTGTGTACATGTGAATTGTGGCTTAGAAGAAACAACTTCAAAAAATTTTTTTATTTGCGTGTGTGTGTGTGTGTGTGTGTGTGTGTGTGTGTGCAGTACCCAAGAAGACCAGAAGAGGGTGTCAAGATCTCAATGTGATCAACCAAACTTAGGTCCTCTAGACAAGCAGAAGAGACTCTTAATCGTTGAGCCATTTCTCCAGCCCCTGAACAATGTTTTTAACTGTTAAATACTCTTATCTCATAAACCTAAATAATAATGAAGTTTCTGAAGACAAAAACATACCTTCTAAGCTTCCTGCACACAACTCACAAAGCAACAAGAAAGTAGTATGGAAGAACACTGAGAGGGTTGGGGTTATTCCCCAGATAAATGCTCTGTAGTATTTGGGAAATGCTAAGTTGTCCCAAGAACAGTTTGAATAATGTTATAGAAACTTTTACAGTTTTTAAAAATATACCTAAAGATTCTTACCATTTAAACACTGGTTTCCATTTCAACCCAGATTTTATCTTTACATTTATGGAAGTTTATTTTGTGGCCCAGGCTTATAATAACCAAGATTCAGGAGGCTGAGGCAGGAGGCTTACCAGTTCTAATCTAGCTTGCCATATACAGTGAAACCTTGTCTCAACAATGGGATAAGGAGAACATGTTAAGAAGGTTACTAAGCATGGGGACTTACCCTTAAAAACCTCAGCATTTAGGAGGGCTGAGTCAGGAGGATTGTCACAAGTTCAAGGCTAACCTGGGCTACAGAATGTAGCACTACCTTTTTTAAAAATGTTGTTTTTAGCCTGATTGCATTGGGGTTGATGTCAAAAGTATCCCCTCTCTAGGAAAAAGACATCGGGACGGGTATGGCCCTCATGCCTCACTGGACAATGACAGGGGACTGGAGCCATTACAAAGTCTCCTTCAATTACTGGAGGTCAGGCCTCTATCCCCGCCTTCGCAGGATTAGAATTGTCACAGCCTTTCTATACTTATAAGTAGGGCAGCCCTGCTTATACACTGAAGGCCTAAAATCAGCCATAGGCCTAAAATCAGCAATAGGCCTGTCATACATGTATACTAACACCAAGTCTTGGGTCTCTGTGGAAAAACATTGAAATAGATGGCTATATGCTACTGTAAGCAGGCAGCTTTTGTGGAAATTTACCAGACTGAGTAGTCATAGACCTTGTAAATAGGTAGCCTTGGTGGATAGTACCAACTTAGATAAGGACAAGTGAATCATATGCAGAGTCATAGTGACCTGTCCCCTGAACCTTCACCCAGCCGATACCCTGTTCTGAAAGATATCTGTATTCCCCCTGAACACCCACACTCCAGTGTCATCCCCTTCCCCACATCCTGCCTTTTAGTGTTTATAACCCCTGTGTGAATAAGTAAAACTTACAATTTGATTAAAAAAAAAATAAATCACACACACACAAAAAGAAACAAACAAGGAAACGAAAAAAAATGTCATTTTTAAACCAAGCAAATTTGCTTATACTTCTCCATTTTAAAAGTATGTTAATTCATATCATGTTGGGAAGGACCTCCTAATAAATATGTTGGGGTAACAAACCCTACTTTTCCCTACTAATCATAATGGCCTCTGCCACCATCCTTGTGATGTCATGACCATGACATCAAAAAAAGAGAAAGAGGAAGAGATCAGGGTCTAACACCCCCATCGAGCTCTTGTCTTTGATGACTGAAAGAACTTTCTCTAGGCCTGTCTACCTCCCAGGAGTGCCAAGCTGAGGAGTAATTCTGTACAAAGGTTGTAGGAGGACATTTAAGAGCCAGTCTAAAACCAAGTGGCCTGATGGCACTGATGGTGACCAGGTCCCTTGGGTGCCAACACTAGACACTATCCATGAAGGGTTTCAGATGATAATCACACTGGCCCGTGGACCAGTACATTTGTTGTCCAGGTGAGAAAATTGAGGCTTTGCAAGGATGCTGGCCCTCCTGACATCATGCTTTTAGTCACTACTGTTCCCCCTGAGGCTAATATTGCATGGAATCTTAACCATAGCAGCTGTGCTAGTCTGTGATTTTAGCTGTAGCCAGTGTTCTGTTGCTAGTAACGAAAGAGCAGGAACAAAGTAACATAAAGAATGGGAGTGGATTTAGCTCAAAGTTGCTAGGGCTGAGACATCTAAGACCATGGTCCTGACCTCCCAGCAGCATCCGAGGGTTTGCATTTTGTCATAGCACAGGACATCACAAGGAGAGACAGAGTCAGCAGCCCTTCAGGTCCTCTTCTATTATCTTTGTTGTGTATATGTATGTGCCTCTGTGTGTGCGGGTGTACTTGTACATGTATATGTAAGAATACACATGTGTGCATGTGTGTATGGGCCGGAGGACAACCTCGAGTGTTGCTCCTTAGATGGCAGCCATCTTGTTTCTTGAGACAAGGTCTTTCTGGCCAGGAGCTCACTAAGTAGGCAAGGCTGATTGGCCATTAAGCACCAGAGATTTACCCGTCTCCTCCTCCCAGTGCTAGGATGGTTTACCCTGGAGGCCAGAAGAGGACACCAGATCCCAGGGAGCCAGATTTACAGGCAGCTCTGAGCTGTTCCATGTGGGTGCTGGGAACAACTCGGATCCCCTAGAAGAACAGCACTTAACTACTGAGCCATCTCAGCTCTCCAGCACTGGAACTTCTGGGAGAGCATCAGAGCTTAGCATAGCATAGCATATCCATCCAATTTAGCGATGGTATCGTGATCATGTACTAAAAGCAGGACCTTGAATTCACTAGTTCATTCTTCTCACTTGTTCACCAGTTGCATACTGGGGCCCTACAGTGGGCCAGACAATAGGAACTAGGTTGAGCAGGAGAGACATATTCCACGTGGAGCGTTTGGTCATGTAGAAGGAAGTCTTAAGCAAGGCAGATATGTCACCGTGTAGCGGTCATGAAGTGAAAAAGAGCCTCATTCTGTGTTCTGCGTATTTCTTCTACTCTGTATCCATAGCCAGTTACCTACCTGCAGATCCCGTGTGAGGCAAACATGCAGGTCCTTTGACAAAGACGACGTCGGAGATCCCAGATGGTGCCAGCGGGGCTGGCAAACTTAGTTTAGCCAAACTCAGTGCTCCCAAGGGACTGATGGCTAAGCTGGTGCAGAGCATCTTGGGTGATTCAGTAAGATAAGTCAGCAGAGAACCGGTCTCTGGTTGATCAGCCCTATGCGTTTATGTATGGCAAGGGCTCTAAGCTGTGTGGTGCCAAGTGCAGACCAGTCTGACCCTCTCGCTGCCCCTTCCCTTCCAGACTGCCTGTCTTACACGGCTTTACAAGTCCTGTCCAGGAGGTGCTACGGGAAGCAGAGATGTAAGGTCCCCGTCGATAATTACCACTTCGGAAGCCCCTGTCTTCCAGGAGTGAAAAAATACCTCACTGTTGCCTACGCTTGTGGTAAGAATAAACCCTCAACCAGCTCTGGGAACACGTGCCTGGTAGGAAAGTGGTAGCCATGTCCAAACGGGAGTGCATGACACTTCAATTGTACATAGTGGGCAGGGCACAGCCAACGACCATGACCAAGAGAGGGAAGAGTGGAGAAAGGTTAATTGCAGCGGGTCAGGAGTGCACCAGGGTCATTTGCGCCTACACACAGAGTCATCTAGAAAAGCACCTTGGGGGCGGCCTGCAGTAGTGCGCATGCTCAGTTTAAGTTCCTAGCGCAAGCAGGAATGCTAGCTGAAACATTCGTAGGTTCAGCAGAGTCCTGGAATAGACATTTAAAAGGTGAAAATGGTGGATGAGGGCTCCTCTGGGCATGCTCAGTTCATGTCAGACAGGAAATGGGCATAGCAGGGCATACTTGCAATCCCAGCTCTCATGCAGCTGAGGCAGAAGGATTGCTGGGAATTCGAGGGCTGGCCTGGGCTACATAGAAGTCCTTATCTCAAAAGAACAGTAATGATGACGACCGGCAAGAATATTTTTGGATGTACACGGCATCTTTTTCCAAAAATGGTTTCAGCTGAAACCAAAGGAACGGACAGTCTGAGAATCTATTAACATAGGCGCTTGCCCCTAAGGGTGGCTACCCTACTGTGTTGCTGACAGAAAGAGGCCATCAGTCAGCTCAGCTGGTTTCTACTGGCTTGTCTCGTACACCCCCGACTCTTTCTCTCCATTGTCCTAGTTTATGGCATTCACATCAGATTAGCAATAAGGTTTTCTTTGGCTAAATTTGTTTCAAGAGCACATCAGACAATCAGATTGGCAGTGGATGGAGATAGTGGGGATAGGACAAGCATCCAGGGACAACGCTGAGGTCACCAAGAACAAACTATTTCTATCTTGCTTCTTACAAAGTCCTGAAATGCACTGGTGTCGTGTGAGTTCACAGAAGTACTGTTTGGCTCCTTTTCAGCCCTCCGGTACTACTTAGAGGCCCTCAGTGACTAGCCCACTGTGCTACTGACAGCTGTCGTATCTACATGCCCTCGGCAGCCATGTAAGGCAGCACAGGCATCCACATGCTGTTCCCCTGTCTTTAGAAATCCCTGCTCCACTTGGCTTCTGTCTTCAGGAAGTTGCTTATGAGCAAGACAGCAGCTGTGTGCAGGGGACTGTGGTGGTCCAATCTGTAATCTTGACACATTGCTTACTCTTCTGAAGTGAGTATGGAGGTGGGGGGAACTCGGGATGCTCAACAAGGAAGACCTCAATGCCTCCCACCACACCCACACCCACCCCCTGCCTGAAGAATAGCATTCATTAGACTTTGCTCAATTTTATCTCAAGATAAAACTTGTGGAGTGCCTGGTCAACATACAATCTAGGTTTTTTTTTTTTTATTTTTTAGAATATCCATCTAATTATGCAAGCATTACTGTTTCCAGCTTAAGAATATTGGCATCACCACAATCCATTCTGAACCAGTTTGATGAAACATTTTAAAAATAGGGTCTCTGCTGGGCAGTGGTGGAGCACACCTTTAATCCCAGCACTTGGGAGGCAGAGGCAGGAGGATTTCTGAGTTTGAGGCAAGCCTGGTCTACAGAGTGAGTTCCAGGACAGCCAGGGCTACACAGAGAAACCCTGTCTCGAAAAACCAAAACAACAAAAACAAAAACAAGCAAACAACAACAACAAAAAAACCAGGGTCTCGTGTAGTCTGGGGTGCCCTTAAAGTTACCGTGTAGTCAGAGATGACTGTGTACTTTTTTTTTTTTTTTGATCTTTCTGTCTCTACTCTCAGGTGCTAGAATTACAGGCATGCAGTGTTTCACATAGTAAACAGACAGGTTCCTATGGTGACCGATGTCTCACAGCTATATGATCTGGTGGGTTGATAGCTCATCCCAGAATGCCTGTCTGCTCCAAGCGTCTCTCTATAATTCTATAAAGCCTCTCAAGTTTGTGGAGGGAAGGAGTCTCATCTCAGCACATCTTGAAAATTAGCAGAGAGAAAGAGAGGGGGAGGGGAAGGGGGAAGAGGAGGGAGAGGGAGAAGGAGAGGGAGAGACAGAGAGACAGAGAGACAGACAGACAGACAGACCAGAAAGAGAAATGCCACTTCCAGCAGGGAAAGGCAGCACAGCCTGGGCTTTACTTCTGCCAGGGAATCAGAGAGAGCATTCTTGGAGCCTAGGGATTAGTGAAAGGTTATTGAGCTAGAAATCATTTGTCCTGGTACAGCTGTGTTCCGGGGTCAGTGCTGTGTCGCTCCAGCACCTCCGCTGCGCCACTCCAGAAAACCACCCTCATCTTGATGGGCACAAAGGCGCCAGGGTCTCCTGGATTTGGGGGGTTCACAATTTACGGCTTGTTCTCTGCTTGTTGGTCCTGGGATGTTTCCAAAAGAATTTAGTTAAGCACTAGGAGAAGGAAGCGGGGTTTTCTTGTAGCTGGGGTGATTTACAGGGTCTCTGTGCTGCGGATCTCGCCACGTTTTTGTTGGCTTCACTTCCTCTTCCTGTTGCCACTTCTCCCAGATACCATCTGGGTTGAGGCAAAAATAAAAATAAGCAATTTTCTGCAGCTAGAATACTTGGCATCCTCTCTGTTCTCCCAGTTGGCAGCAATGTGCGTCACCTTTGTAACTGTATCTCTCTCCTCTCTATTTCTCTGTCTCTCTTTGTGTCTGTGTCTGCTGATGCGCTCTCTCTCTGTCTCTCTGTCTCTCTCTGTCTCTCTCTCTGTCTCTCTGCCTCTGTCTCTCTCTGTCTCTCTGTCTCTCTCTGTCTCTCTGTCTCTCTCTCTGTCTCCGTCTCTCTCTGTCTCTCTGTCTCTGTCTCTCTTTGTCTCTCTCGCTCTCTCTGTGTCTATCTGCCTATCTCTGTCTCTATCTCTCTCTGCCTCTCTGTCTTTCTGTGTGTCTCTGTGTCTCTGCCTCTCTGTCTCTCTCTGTCTCTAGCTCTCTGTCTCTAGCTCTCTGTCTCTATCTCTATCTCTTTCTCTGTGTCTCTAGTAGTACAGGCTAGTCCTGAACCCCTTACATAGCCAAGGATGACCTTGCACCTCTGATCTTTCACTCACGAACCATCCTTCCTTATATTTAATGACCTATGTGAGCCCTGATTGCTGGCTCCTCTGGGTTTATAATGAACTGACAAGATGAGAAGTTCAGAGAAAAAGCAGAAGAGAATGGAGCAGGAGCAGTCAGGGGTTGGAGCTGGTCCTGACTGGTCCATTTGCTTCACTGTATCTCAGATATGCTGGGATCCCCTGAACAGCTTTCTGATGCTCTCCCAGCCTGAGCTCACCCACTGTGAGACGCCTCAGTGGACTTCAGTACACTGAAAGCTGTGTCACTGCCCCCACATTTTCGTCACCCACCTCCCAAAGTGTCCCACGCTCTCCAGTCCCCCCACCAATCAATTTCAGTCTCCAGATTTACCTTTTCTAGGCAGTTCAGATAAATAGAATTATGCAATAGACGGGTTTTGCTAACTGCCTTCTCCCACGGAGCACGTTGTTTTGAGATTCATTCTCGTGTCCTTTCTATTACTCACATTTTCCATTAGATGTGTGCCCTGTGGTTTATTTACTTTCTCCTTTGTCTGAGATGGGGTCTTGCTGTGTAGCCTGATCTAGCTTGAAAGTTGAAGCCCTGTTACCTCAGCTTTCTCAGTTTTAAGATCCTTTAAAAGAAAATATTTGTTTTATATTAAGTATATGTGCATAAAAATAAATATATTTGTGGAGAGGTATGTGTATATAGGTGCCTGGAGAGACCAAAAAAGAGAGGTGGGTCCCCTGGGGCTGAGGTTACACAGACAGTTATGAGCTGCCCAATGTAATGCTAGGAGTGAACTTGGGTCCTCTGCAACAGCTGATGCTCTGTGCTGTCTCTATAACCCCAGCTCCTTAAAAACCAGTGCAACATGTGCCTAAGATTTCACCTGTCTTAGGCATTTGATGATCTCATATTGCTGTGTGTGCGTGTGCGTGTGTGTGTGTTAGGCTGTAAGTCATCTAAAAGTATTTTGTAAATCTTTATCTACATTGTACCTTACATATATACTAAATACAAAGGTGTTTTTTAAATATACCATGTTTTTAAAATACTTCTTTTTGGTTTTCAGTTCCCAAGAACATACTCACGGCAGTTGATCCGGCCGTTGCTAACCTAAGTCCTTCTCTGGAGAAAGACGATGAATACGGTAATTTCCATGGCTTACTCCCAGAATTTCCTTTTACGTGAGGTCAAACGGGCACAGAAAGTCAGAGTGGAAGAAGCTGACGCCACAGAGGTGTCGGGCTGCTCTGCTGACACAATGGGGCATGGCTGATGGTTACATACAATCGGCAGCTAGTGCTTTGTTTCAAAAAAAAGAATTAAAATCACAAGTAGAATAAGTTTATCCCCATTCTCTTACATTCTCCTTTTTTCCCCTCTCTGTCTTAGGGATTGATTCTAAAACTTTCCAAGCACTGTCCAATTAACAGGTGTTCAAGCCTCGTAAATAAAGCAGCCCGTGTTTGCACAGAACACACACGGTCCTTCTGTGCACTTTAGTCTCTAGGGTGCTTACAGTCCTTAGTAGGACAGCAATGCCATCCACAATGTCGTTCTACTGTATAGTTTACGAAACAATGACAAGAAAGAAGCCTGTACACATTCCAATGTCTTCTGAGCAATCTTTCTGTCTGTGAGTGAATCCATGGACGTGATCTCCCTGACAGAGGATTGGCTCCACGATTTGCTTCCCTGTGTACTTCTTGCTACAGAAAACACAACATCAAGGCCTAAGAGCTCTTAGCCCAAAGCTAGGGGTGAGGACTGGAAACATCCACCACATTCCAGTTCACACCACCCTGTCCACCAGGCTCTGCATCTCAGCCTCCCTCTGTCTTTCACTTGGTTCCCACCAGGTCCCAAAGGATCCCCACCCTCCCTTCAATGCAACCCTGAGAGCCACATCTTTCTTAGAGGCATCTGCCCTATGTGATATTCTCAGGGTTCCCTGAACGACAATACTGCTCCATCTGGATTTGCTAAGCATCCACCAGGATCCTGGTGTCTCACATCTGAAAGCAGCCCAGACTTGCATTGTGTGTGTGTGTGTGTGTGTGTGTGTGTGTGTGTGATCAGAAAATCCTCACACACCACCCTCTCTAACCCCAGGTCTGTCGTATCTCTGGTCCACAGAGCAGACAGCAGTTCCATGGTAAATGGAGGGATTATTTACTCGGCCTGATGGAGGCCATTGTTGGGATAGAATAGAGGGTTCTATTCTGGAGGAGGGCATATGAACTGCACCCGAAGTTGGAACTGAGATCCCTTTATTCCCTTTAATGATTTGATATTTTTCAGAGATGGCTTCGGCATCAGCTCCTTTCCCTGTCACTGGGACAACATGCCTGAGAAAAGCAATGTCAGGAAGGCAGGATTTGTTTGGGTTCCTGGTTTAGGAAGGGAAATGGGCCATCATGGTGGCAGGACTGTGAGACTGTTAAGAACCAGAGGACACATAGAGAGAGGAGGCTGCTTACAAAGCTCAAGGCCCACCCTCCATGACTCCCTTCCTCCAGTGAAGACCCACAACCTCCCCAAGCACACGGCTGGCTGGGGACCAAGTCTTCAAATGCATGCGCCCACAGGGACACTTCACACTCAGGCCTCAACACTGGGTGTTCTGAGTCTCCCATAGCTTAGTCTCTTAGAAGCCCTATGGTTTGACGTCTGAGACTTTCCATCCCTGTGACAGACCTGGGAGAACATCGGTGAGACTTTCAGGACGGGCACAGGAGCTCTGACCAATGGCCTTTTCACATTGCAGGTATGAAATTCAACCCCAGCGGATCAAGGGTTGTGCGGAAAGATGGCGTTATTGTCAGCAACTCTCTGGCCGCATTTGCTTACATTCGAGGTAGGTGAATGAGTGGGAACTTCTAGGGATGAGGAGGGGTTTACCCACCGCCTCGCTGACAAACACTCTGATGACTAAAGGAACGTGGCTTTAGTGATATCCAGAAGTACAGGACTGGGATTCAAACATAGTTGTAGCCACAAAACCAAGGGACCTACAAGAATAAAGTCAAGTTACTGAGGGTTTCGTCTCCAAAGGTAGTTCCCCCTCATAAAGTAGAAACGCTTTCATCATGTATAAAACTTTGGATTATAGAATCCTTCCAATAATTGGAAGGAAAACAGGCAGATCACACAGAAGCAAAACAAGTCCTGCCATGGGATGACACAGTGACCTTGGGAGGCCTGAGAATTACTATGGTTGCTAAGATTTTCTTGTTAATATCCCCAGGGCTGAAGGCTTGCACCGGGCCTGGCTGAGCACAGTCCTCTCTGTGGGGGAATATACATTGTCCTTGCTACCTTCTGCATTTCCTAGGATGGATTGTATCTAGGAATGTTGATACTCTCTGTCAGTCAGCTTTCCTTTGTCATTACTTAATACAAGACCCAGGCTACTCCTGACGTGAAAAGAGATATTTTGGCTCATAGTTCTGGAGATCAAGTTGAAGATCTAGTGACTCAGTAAATCAAGGGGTTGAGGAGCAATGGGGCATCATGAGTGATCACAGTTTGAACCAGAGGAGAAGGAGAGAAAGTAGAATAGTCTTACAATTAATTCCCTTTGATGGTACAGGTCGAATGACCTAAAGACTTCCCATAGACCCCACCTTTTAAAAGTCCACAGTACCCCCTCCCAGGGCCACCACCATCAAACCAAACTTGTACTTACAGGTCTTAGGGGAAGGAACACTTATCAAAACCATACAGAGGCCAGAAACTCTGAGACCTTGGATACGAATGTGTATGCTAATAGGTACACGAATGTTGCTATTCAAGCCTGCTGGGGCTGGGCTTGTGTGGGGTAGAGCTTCCTCAAAGGGAAATTAAGGCCTAGAGAGATATCTTAATACAGGAGCTGGAGTCTGGCCCGGCACTCTGTCATGGTACTGTCTTCCCAACTCAGCCTGTGTTCCTCCAGTGGGCTTGCCATATGCTGTATGGTTACTGGCCTCCTTTTTCCTTACAACTCCTTCCCCGTTTTCATTCTTGCTGCTCCCAATGACTGCCAGCGTTAAAGAATATGAAGATTTGGGTTTTAGAAGTGTGTCCACGGTTTCAAAGTCTCTTCAAGTGGACGGCAACGATGAAGAGAGTCAGAGGTGCTGCTGGCTGAGGTGCAGCCACGCTGGGCCCTTCGATATTGGGCTCTGTGCTTTCTCAGCCTCCTTGGTCTAACTTAGCCTCCACAATAAAACATTGTAGACTGGAGCTTAGGAAACAGTTTCTATTTCCTAACAGTTCTGGAGCAGGTTGCTCAATAGCTCCCTTCTGGCTTTAGATAGCAAGCTGCTTGCTCTGTGTGTGTGTGTGTGTGTGTGTGTGTGTGTGTGTGTGTGTGTGTAAGGGGTAGTGGTAAATAAACAAAGAAGAGAGTGTGTGTGTGTGTGTATTTTTCAAATGCCACAAGTCCTATCAGATAAGGACCCTCAGGTAAACAGTTAACCTTAATTAGTTCTAGAAAGTTCCTCCGACAAAGTCATATTAGAGTTTAGGGTACCAGCATGAGTTTGGGGGGACATGGTCAATACAGAGCAACAACTCTGAGGGATGAGGCTTTCAGCCCAGATTCTGTGACTAAGGGAGCTGAGGGGGCAGAGGAGCTGAGCATTTGCCAAGGGCACCATGGACAGTGGCTTCACGCTGGGCTAAGGGCAAGGCTGTCAATCAACTTCTACAAAGAATCTTGTCTTCAGGATTTGAGTGGCTGAACCTCTTGACCCTGCATTATGTAAATACCCCTTCCTCCAGCCTTCATGCTCATCCTGCTATGCGTCTGGATGATGCGTTTGCCTGTCTAAGCACCATAAGGAAAGTTGACTGTCATCTTGTTTATCTCTGTCATATCTCTGTGTCTAGGACAGTTCTGGGACAGACCAGGTTATAGAGAGTGGGTAACAAATGGCTAAGTATTAAATCTGAGTTGACGTTATGGCTGTCTTATACTCCGTTATCATCTCTGATTTATACGTCTTATTTATGCGTCTGAAAAAGATGGCTCAATGGTTAAGAGTGTCTGCTGCTCTTGCAGAGGAGACTAGTTCAGTTCCCAGCACCGTGTCTGGAGGCTTACCATTGCCGATAATTCAACTCAGGGGGCCTGACACCTTCCTTTGGTCTCTGCAGCTGCCTACACACATGTGGTATACAGTCACATGGACACACATACATGTAAAACACATCTGTGGGTGCATGCATGGCATTGTATACATGTCAGACAACAACTTTGTAAAGCTGATTCTCTTCTACCATGGTTTACATAGGTTTTTGGATCAAATCCAGGTTGTCAGGCTTATGTGACAAATGCCTTTATCCACTGAGTCACCTTGTTAGCCATCTACGAGCCAGACCAATGCTCTGTCCTTATAATATGAGGACTGGATGGGATGTCATTTGATTTTACTGTGAGATATTCCAGTATGTTCATCTTAGCAAGTCACAGATGTGAAACCTTACGATGGGACTAGGGTCCCAAGCCTGGACATGGACTCCTGGCACTCTCTGACCCCGAGGCCACTGCTAGAGCAGCTGGGGAACCAAGAGCTGGGGAACAGAGGATTCCTGGGAAACTGAGGGAAGCCAAAAGATATTCCCTAATCAGGCTACCAAGTGGCATTGACCCATGAATGCAGTTAAACAGATGGGGGATAAGCAGACAGGCAACCCAAGCCAAGGGGCTTGTCCTACACAGGGAAACTTGGAGGTGAACAGAAAGGACATGAGAGTGCGCAAGGGTCTCAGACAGACTGTATCTCCTCTGGTTATTTGCCTGATCTGCAAGGATGTTTCTCATAGAAGGGGGAAGAGTGTGTGTGTTCTATGTGAGATATGTGTAGACGTGTGATATGCTTGGTGTGGATGTTGTGTGTGCAGTACCTGCACAGTTGTGTGTCGCATTTGCAGAGTGTTGTAGACTATATGGAGCATAGTATGTGTGTGTACTGTGCACAGGCTGCTGGTGCTTGTTTATGATATGGGGGCCTTTGGGTGGGGGATGATATCATGTGCACATGTGTCTATGTATGTACACGTGGTTCTGAGGAAGACAATGTATTAACTGCTTCAGCAGAAGCCATTGTCCTCTGGCTGAGGGACTTCTTAATTTAGTTTTGTTCTCTAAATAAATAACATGACCCCTCCCAGACCACTAAATTAGTGTCATATTAGTGTCATATTGGCATCTGGCTTTCTGTGTTTACCTCCTCTGTGCCTACAGGCCTGCCTTTGTGACTCAATATTCTGTCACTGCCTCTATTGTCTGGGATTGTGTGTGGTGTGTGTTCAGCCTCAGGCAAACCTGAGAACTTTGGGGGTGTTTTTGGGAATCTGGGACTGCAGCCAGGACAGCTTCGGTGGTTCTAAGATGGGAACTCTAGGATGTCCGATGAGCTGTGTGAAGGAGAGAGTTTACCACGCATCACAGTCAGTCACATGACCTTTTCAGGGAGAACAATCAGAGAACAGCACAGCCCTGTCGTGTGGGCGGGCTCTGACATGTTCCCAGCGTCTGTAACCCTGACAGAAAGTCCTGCCACACTCCTAAGTGCCATCAGAATTGGTTCCAAGCACTTTGTGCTTCTTCCTCCTGGAGGGCTCTGGCCATAGTCCCCCGAGAGACAGACCTATGCTGGTGGCTTCTGGTGTCTTATCTGGGTGTGACTAAATTTGAACTGAAGCTTGTGTTGGCCCCAGACCAGGATCTAAAGAGCAAATGGGGCCTAAAGGCCACTGGCCACCCATCCTGAGGCTCCTGGGATCGTACCGAAGATGATAAGTCATTCCCTCTCGCCTGTGATGAGCTGAGACTAAATTTAGAATAGCAACAAAAACACTGTGAAGATTCTATTCAACCACAGCAAGACAAATGCCTTGTCTTTTTCAAAGAGATGACAGAAAAGGGGTCACAAGAGTCTGGACTAGTCTACTTGCTTCTAGAAAATGGAGTAAATATTGATTTGCATAAAGTCTGGGGCAGTGGGTGGAGCCCTGGCCTGAGCCCAGGTTGCAGTCAGTGGTGGCTTTGGAAAGTGTGTATGCTATGTCAGGGATTAGACCAGCTCAGCCCTAATGTGCTAGCTACCTACAATCTGGTGACTGTGTGACAGTCACTTCACATGGATAGAAAGTTTTCTTCCCATGGGACTGCTGAGAGCTGCCGAGAGTCTTCCCCATCCTGGGCCACTGGATCTCAGTGACAGTGCCGTGAACCCCCTCACAGAGTGATCCTGTGGCAAGAGGAATCTCTGAGTCCCAGGAGTCAAACCAGGAGCCTGAAACCTGGAGACACAGGGGATGGGGGTAGGGGATGCTGATTCTGTGGTAGCATGTGATGTACCCTAAGGTAGCATGTCATGTGCCCCAAGGTTGCATGTGATGTACCCTAAGGTAGCATGTCATGTGCCCTAAGGTTGCATGTGATGTATCATAAGGTAGCATGTGATGTACCCTAAGGTAGCATGTGATGTGCCCTCAGGTAGCATGTGATGTGCCCTCAGGTAGCATGTCATGTGCCCTAAGGTAGCATGTCATGTGCCCTAAGGTAGCATGTCATGTGCCCTAAGGTAGCATGTCATGTGCCCT